AGAAACAATGGCTTCATAAGTTACAGAACACACTGGTAAGTTCTGGTACTTCAGGTGGTAGAACATAAGAGAGAAGTAAGTTCATTAATTGTATGCAGTTTCTATCTCACCCAAACCACTTTCCTCCCCCAAACCCTTTGTCTCCTTTACTCCTTTTCCTCAGGGAGAACATCATACCTGCTGGCGGATGTTATCTTGGATAAATTCCCCTACAAGAAAATGAAGTGAATCAGCAAGTTTAGCTTCTAGATGCTGATCAGAATGTTAGCTAAAGGTGGGATTCAGACGATACACAAATTTGTACACTACCCAACACAGCTTTGTGAAAGGTGGATCAATATTGCTTATGCCTAGTTCTTCCTGGAGAGCACACAGCCTTCTAAACCTTGGGACCAATCTGAAACATGGAGATATTATGGTCGGTAACTGCTGAAAGCTCACAAGGAGTACCAGAAGACTCCGGGGTGAAAAACCTAAATCCCAAGTCACTAAACAAAGAAGGTCATGGTATTTCTCATCTCACCTTTGCTGAGCCATTTTTCATCCTATGTAGACAGACAAGTGACATTCCCTGACCATTCAGGAAGGTTGAGGGCTAGAAGATGACATTCACGCAAGATTCATGCACGGTGTTAAGGGACCTCAGGGAAAAGCTGTTGACCGACTCTCTTATCTATTCAGATCAGGGCTTTCCACGCTGGCCTGCTTGGGACCAAATAAAAAAAGTCTTTCCCCCTCCCTCTTTTTTAGCAAGTAAAGGGTCCCTAAGCATTCTGATAGGGCTGCTATAACTCATGTCAAAAGCCAACAGGGTGTGGGGAGCTATATACCATTTCTTCACATTGTGGATGTACCTTACTCTGTGGGGAGAGAATATTTGTCTTCTGACTATTTGCACTAGCAGGCCGATGAAGGAATTCTCACACATCCAAGCCATATAAAACTCCAACAATCAAGTACTACAGTTATTTTACCTTACTTTATCTAGCATTATGTCTGATCCACATGCTTCAGGCAAAAATACCTGCACCACAGTTGGTCTCCTCAGGGGCTCGTGCTCCTTTTATGCATTGTCTCAGACAGCAGATAGAAAATATTTCTAGTTATACCCCTGCATTGGAGGCATTTCTGTTTTCTGTTAATATCTTGAAAGCTGAAAGATTCACTCCCTTCTGGAGGAAAAGGAAATGACAGTTATTACTGCCTATTATTGCACATCAAAATAGGAAGAAAGGATGAGACGGGGTTGAAACTCAGTAAAAATAAGGAAGAAAAACAAGCCTTTGGTTTGCTACATTCAAAGCAACATTATACATTTCTACGTTCAACCTACCAATTCATAGACTTCCCAAACTCTCATAGGAGTCCATACAGCTGACTTAGTGCATACAGAAGGGTCCTAAGAATTAGGAGACCAGTAAATATATGTATGACCAAATTTAAGTGCTTTTTAGTGCTGTGAAATAACTCATGATTTAGTAACAGCAAAAAGTACTGCGAGTATCTCAGGCTGCTGGTAAAAGTGCTTTTGATGGCCAATGGCTGAGAATTGTACTGGTGAGGCACAAGAAGGAACAGGATTCATTTCACTGTGTCTTAGTCATGCTGGCTTCACAAAGTTTTTGGGAAGAGGCAGCAGATTAATTTCTATTCACTGAAGTACCATAAGTATGTGCAGAAAGTCAGATGAGTGAAGGGCCTATTTTAAGGCACTCAGCTCACAGATGCACTAAAATTATGTCTCATCTGTAAGAACTACAGGAAGGGACAGGTTTTCTAGTTCTTGTTTAGTTCTTTTATTTTCAGAAATGCAAGTACTATTCCAAAACAGTAAAAAGGGGGTGGGGGGAGATAGAGGGGGACTCTAATCTTTCTACTTATCAAAACTTGCTGCATGGAACAATATGGTCAAACTTTAAGCTAAGCTAAGATGTGTTCAAATGTTTTCCAACTAATTTTCTTGTACAGTAAAGAATATCTCTGCCTCTATGCCAAATTTTTATGCAGAACTCAATGTGGTTTTTCATCCTTTGGGAAAGGTAAAAGAGATTAAAAACCACAGCCTTGACTTTTTAAATATATCTATGTTAGTTCTTCTTATCAGATTATGACAGCATTGCAAAAGAAAACTTCACCAATTCTGGTTCCCTTTATTTTCCTTTGTATGTGGTAATCTATTCCTCTAAAATTTTCAGGTTCAGTAATTACAAGAAAAGAAAAGCCCCAACTGGTGCTATGCTTCTCCCAAAGCTGCCTTCAAAACAGCGCACCGAAATGCTGTATACATCAACACCACCACCTAGAAAGACAAGCAGCCTCTTGCAAAAGTCATTGCTGTCTTCATTTACAGCACCTTTCCAGTGGTGGGGCTTCCAAAGAAAGCTGTTCTTTTAGTTCTTCAAAGAGTTTAGAAACACAGGCCTGGGTGGGCCTCCAGTCCCCTGCTAGGGCTAGGAACATTTCTTTTTGTTTTTTCAAATAATCTCTGTAACCTGCATCTCAAAAGAAGGATGAGAAAGCTTGGAGGTTTTCTACATCAAATACTTATTTTTGTTAATGCTGCCACATGCTGCACTCCATTATGCATCTAATACTGTACTAATACCAAGAGAAGAAGAAGACAGACAGAAAAGAAAAGGAAGCAAAGCTGAAACTTTGGTGGAAATGAGTCTTCCTCTGTCACAAACCAACAGCTAAAGTTAACTGCTTATTTCAACTAGGGGTGGGGTGGAGCAAAACCAAAAAAACCCCTATTGCTTATAAGCACAATGGGGATATCTACCAGTATATTTGCCAGCTTAACAAAATACGAGCCCAAACTCTTCCTCTTTCCAGGTTACCCTCAACCCAACTGAGATCACGAGGGAACTCCCCCTTACCTTGTATTATCTGACTTGTGGTAGTGGCCAGCAACCTCATCCTAAGAGCAGGATCTGCTATGCTAAGCAATGTGCAAATGCAGACTATAAGGATGGGCGCAGTCTGCAGAATTCACAGCCTAAATAACTTTAGTCTTCCACAGATGACTCTGAATTTCCTTCCTTGTTTTCTAATTCCAAAGACCCTGCCCCAACACCACACAGGCAATTCTGCCAAAACCAAAATATCAGGAAAGTTAGAAAGAACAACATCTACCCTGATACCTAAGAGACCACAGTGCAGTGGAATAGATCTCATGTTGGAAGTGTTTTGATGATGTCATACTTTTATGCCACATTGTAAGGACAAGAGATGGAGCCTTGCTTCCAGAACTCTCCAAACATGTTGACACCATACTGTTGACCTGACAATTCATTTCAAGCCAATCTAGTATCACACAAATCACAAGTCTTCAATTAAGTAACATTTTGGAAGTTATCTTTCACTACTTCTGTGACATTTTCACAACTGTCGAAGAGCACAAATTAGGTTTCTGAGTACAAAAATGAATGAGACAAGACTTGATAACTGCATTAGTCAGCAGATCCCACTACTCAGCAACAGAGCAACCCACTTCATTAGCAGAACTGATATAACCTGGTTCCTTACAGATTCCCAGTACATTGTTACTGGAAGAGCCTCACTCTTCCTCTGTGTCATCCAAACCCAGTATTTTGTCCTTTCTCTGGGGTATTCACAGTTTCATGCTATGGCTCCCATATTAATTACACTTCCTGGTATAATACCCTCTGGATACTTTCCACTTCCCGAAGTCTATGCTGCAAAATATCTTTTCTAGTCCACATTCCTCTTGTAATTGAGGAAGAGAAGAAGGAAGAGGACCTGCAGACTAGGCAACATGTGACATTGCTGATGTGACATGATGATTAGCCTGCTGGCTGGTACTCTCAGCTGCCAGGCCAGCCAAAGAGGGGAAAAAAGGCTGACCTCTTCATTCCTTTCCCTTTCACCTCTTCCCAGCATCAACTTGCATAAAAATCTTTTAAAACATAATGCTGAAATCACTGCCCCTCCATCAGAGCTGACTGCTACTGCCCATTGAGCGAGTTAGAGACATCAGAGCAGTAGATTGACAGAAAGACACAGACAACAATCATAAGCTTTGATCTCGCAGCAAACAAGGCTAACCAAGGTTACTGTCCCATACTATTAGCACCCAAAGTGCTTTCCAGAGAGGCACTCCTTCCAGGGGAAAAAAGAAAACAAATCAGTAACATATAAAAAAAATCACAGCCTCTAGCTGTTCTTTTTTTAGACACTTTGATAATTTCTCTGGCTATGCAGGGGATGTTCTGCTGCTTGCAAGAAAACAGATCTGCAAATTTCCTGCATGTCTGCTTTTGAAGTGAAGCTCTATTGCTTCTGAAGACTGGCCAGTATTGCAGTTCAGAACGAGCATCCTCAATGTAATTAGTGAGTAACTAGGTCAGACTTTATAACTGAAAATGTGAGCTTAGACTAAGTGAAAGACCTCTTCCAGTCATTTAATAAGAACCCAAAAGCTGGCCCTTTGCCAAAGAACAAGTGTAAAATCAGGTTGCTATCTGATAGACTCTCAGTCAGACATATCACATGACTGATACCCAGAAGGCTGGGCAGAGCGAAAGACACTTTGCTTGCCTTCTAAGAATTTGCTTTCACTTGTTTTAACTATGAGTCATATATTCCAATTCTCCTCCTCAGTACTAGCAACTTGGTTACCATACTGAGCCTAAATGTGCTGTACAGGAAACAAGATCTATGAAATAATACGCCATGACCTAAATGTTTATTGCTTGACAGAAGCAATACCTTCTAAAAATCATGGTCAACTGTTTCAAAAGAAGCAGAAAGCTCTAATCCTGATTTTGATTTGCAGAGTAATTCTATATCCTGTCTGGTCTTGACCAAGACTTATCTCCTCTACAAAACGGTAAAAATTATTTATTAGGGTGTTGTGAAGTTTAGAGTTTGTAAAGAATAAAACAAGTAATTACACATGGCTTCTATAGAGGTCTTTTAATATTCAGTATGCCCAGAAAAGGGGCTTTTGATAGTCTCTCTTAGGTACTGCATAGATACTTAATCTTCTGATTTTAGCAAACATGGTTCTGAAGAAGAAAAAAGCAAATTTTAAAATATTTTATTAATCAAACAAATTAATAAAATGTAAAAAACCCACCCCAGCCAGTGTTATACGCTATAAATTGGCCTTAAAAGACATTCAAAACAATGGACTGACCAAATATTTCTTATTTACAGTTCAGAAAAGTATCTTTTGGTGACAGAAATGCTCTAAAGGTCTGGAAAGATCACTCATTCCTTGTCACCTGCATTTTGGAAACCCTTTCAAAGTCTGCATGAACTCAGTCACAATATAAGAGAGGAGAAAGCAGGTCGCTGTGTAGGGAGGTAGGGGCAAAAAGCAATTGCTGTTTCCCACACAGCAGCTGTTGTTTTTTTGCTATAAAGTGCAGGTATTCCAAAACAATTTTTAACTACAGCTCATTATTTTTTTTCTTTTTTGATGATCTTAATACCATTTTGCACAGTATGTTTATACATTTGCAATAATGACAGAACATTTTTTGAAGGAACGAATCTGGTTGTAACAAACAAGCATCTGTGAAGGTGTCATTAGTGTCTCTCCAGATCTGTAATCAAATTTGAGTATCTCTTTCTAAGCAGTATTTGACTAGTTTGGATTGCTCTGTGTAGACAGTACTCCATTTTCATTACTAACGATAACTATTATCAGTTATCTATCACAGGTGCCAGTGTACAGTTTTCATGGATTCTTCTGCTCAGTGTTAGCAGTTATCTGCAGAGTATGAAATGGGGATATAACTGATTCATTCATCCTTCCAGCATCAGGATTATCTACAGTAACTGTACTAGCTAAAAGTCTGGAAAATGAAACGGGAAAATCTGTAACAGAAAGAGACAGAGACAGTTGACCTGCTGCTGAGCTGACAGTCTAGAGAACCTGTAGTACAGAAATGACCATAAGTACTGATTTGGGCACAGTGTGGCAAAATCAGCACACTTGGCTTTGCTGTGTGCTTTAGATTCTGTTGTGTGTTTCAAACTATTAATTTGTGACTCCCTGGCCTAGAATTTTTTCCTGTAAGTCCCTGTGGGTTTTTTCCCCCCTCTATTTTTTTAATAGGAAAAAAGCAGGAAAATAGAGACTTTTTCCCTTCCGTAACAATAATGCTATTGAATTAGCTCTACTAAAGATTCAACATTACCTGATAACCTCACTGTGACATTTGTATCTTCCTTCCCAGGCAATGTAACAAGAATTTCAGATGCCAGCACAGATTCTCATTAAATTTAGTAGTGTTTAGCTGAAAGCAATAGCAAGGATAAGCTAGATTCAGTGTGCTAAAGAAAATACAACAGAGATGCCTTAAAGGTATTATTACTTCACAAATACTTTGGATTATTTCAATCTTCTATTCTAGTTCTGAGAAGTCAGATGACATTTATACCAACTGAAAATGTCTCTGGGACTGCTCTCTTTTGAGAAAATAAAGATGGATAGACTCTCTTCTCATTAGTATCCTGTTTTGTGCCCCATCTCACAGGGAGATCTCTTCCAAAACTTTGCTTGTATAGTCACCGTATGTCACCCAGTCACATCATGTCCAGCTGCAAAGAGAAGAAAGACATTTGGAAGAAACAGCATTGAATTTAAGTTATTTCTCACAAGTGTTTAGCACTTAGAAAACAAAGCAAATTCAGAAATCCTTATCGTGTAACATAAATGGACTGCATAGAACTTAATACTAAACTGTTATAAAGTACAAAAAACACATCTAAAAATCTCATCGTCACATAATCATGTGTGCAATTTATAGATTTTAAAAAGTACAGTCCAAAAGTAGAAATCTAACTGCTACTGAAGATTCTTTAAAACCGTCTACACTATTGGCTTAAGCCTTGGAGACAGATTTGTAATGACTCAGCCTGTAAAAAATGGTTAAACTACTTATTAAAAAACCTCTTGAAATCCTTGCATTTCAGCAAGCCTATATAGAGAAGGTTAATTGAGAAGATTAAAACATTGTTTTTAAAATGATTTTCAGTTTTCAACCCACATAAATAGCTGGTCTAGATCTACAAGCTCTGTTAAATGCTATTATAGTAAATTATAACAATCTGCTATCAAATAAGCAGCCTTACTAACTCTTTTGAAACACACTATAAGACATGTTTAACCTATGTGAACACCTGTGTTACTACATAACACAGTATTTGCCATCATGAAATTACACACCTGTTTATGTTTTACAATAGGAAATAAGCAACTTCAAGTGGCTCTTTTCTGACTCAATTCCTCAGGTGTCTTCTAAGCCAAGCATGCTACTGCTTTAAGAAGGACCCACTCTGTCTCACTGCATCTTTCAGTTACAGTTTAATTCCAAAGCCACATCATGTCTTTATGGTACTCACCAAATCATCAACATCACCACCTTCATCTGTGGGAGGCAGAGTTTCATTTTTCTTTTCTTTTGGAGCCAAGAACTGAAAACACAAATGTATTTATATGACACTGACAAAATCCAGACCTTTAATATTAAATTAACAGAACGTCTCCTTTGTATATCAAAACAAACCCACCTGTAATTAAAAATTATGAATTATGTTTGTTCTGGCTTCCACCCTACAAAATCGTCATGAACTACAGAAAATTTTGTAAGACTTGCTTTTAAAGGATTTTATGGTGAAGTGTGTTGAATAACACACAAAAGAATACGGATCTTCAGACAACATATGATTACGCTGTAGAACACCCTGTCATAAGGATGAAGCAAGTATTAGTCCCTAGTCTCACAAGGAGATGGGCAATGTTCATAGAAGAGAAATCCTCTGAAGTGTACTAAGTCCGGAGAAACAACCTCAAGCACAGGAAGTAGCTGAGACACCAGTGGCTGCAGCCTGGGACTGTGCAATTTTCCCTACTCATCTGTTATTGCCCACTCTCAAACCCGGGATTCTAGGCTAGATGGAAATTTTGTCCATTACAGTATGGCCGTGTTTATGTTCTTAAAAAAGATAATTTTAAAAGTAATATTGTGTGTAGGTACAAAATGCTAAAGGACAGCAAACCGCCCCCCCACTGATATGAATACATACGTAAGCTAACCAATGGCTTGTTTAGCCAATTTCTTAAGTATGACATTCTATTTCTGTGGGGAACTTAGAAGTTTCCCATTTAATTCAATTAACATTTAACAAATGAACAAAGACATGAATTCTAAAAAACCTCTCAAACACGCAAGATGGTTAGAATGCCAGTCTTTTAAAGATAGAAAATTCATTATGTAAAATTCTATTGCCGTAGCTGCTGATACAACTCACCATATGCCCTTCACTTAAAGCATGGTATCCATAAACAGAAGATAAAGGTAAGTTGCTCAGATACTATAACAACTGAAATCAAGTATACAGACAATATCTGAGTACAACCACCTCTGAATTATTTTTATCTTAGCCTAACATAGTGAAAAAAAATAATAATTTAGCTAGAATGGCAGAAAAATAATACAAATACGTGACTCTTACTTAAAAAATATCCAGTTGTCTACAAATTTTAGTTATGGTCTCTTTACCAATATCCATAACTTTTCTTTCCTTATTAAAATGCATGAGAACAAGTATACAGGGCCAGGAACAACCCTGCCCCAGAGGAAAAAGATGTTTGCGAAAGCTGGGGAGGAAGAAAAGCCACACTCCATGACTTTGAGTTCCATAATCCTTAATTCAGAAACAATTTTGCTGTAACTCTAGATAATGAAAAAGAACAGACAGTTAGAAAATAACCACATTAAACAGGCTATAAATACCTGTTTATAGAGTTCAGGTAATTTTTTTGTGCAAACAGCTGGCTCCTGAAAGCAAGCCACTGTTTACCTGAGGACTTCAACTGTAACAGCCATGGAGTTCTCTGAAAGGTCATGGGATCCTTAGCAGAGCACTACCAGTATCTGAGACAACATACTTGTACTGTAAAAAGCTTAAATATTAATTTACATAAATAAAATGTTCTGATCCTTCTCTGGAGCAATACTGATAGCTTTAGACAAGGGATAAAACACTGAGAAATTACCTCCTCCATCCCATTTCTGGGAAAGTACCAGACATCATATCCACTAGAATGAAAACCAAATACGTTGCTTTTGGTTAACACCAAAGACAGAGGATGTAGACAACTTCTGCCTAGTTGTCCCACTACATAAAGGGCAGACCTTTCCTATACCCTAAACAGCAACAACCAAGAGGAATGGAGAAAGCTTACTCCACAGACAACAACTTCAACTTATCATACAGGTTTGTAGCTGCAAAAAAGAGGGGAAAAAAAAAAAAAAAAAAAAGGAGAAGGTGACAGGGCCAGAAATAATTAGAATTTAAAGATACC